ACAACATGGAAACATGTCGAGAAAACGCTGTTCAGTCTGGATGTCAGGAAACTACATCATTGCACAGTAGGGCCGTGACGGTTGCCGTGACAACCACGTCACCCGTTGTCTATTGACACCGGCAGTAGTGCACGTGATGTCACACATTCTATAACAAGCATAATTTTTGTATACAAGTGTAATAACAGTAACAGTTGCAGATTGTTTTATTTAGACTATAAGTCTATGCTAATTCACAAATTACCTCAAACGCCATAAATGGCGTTTGATCCTTTAGATTGGCAGGTTTGAGCGCAGGAAAATACAGTACAGAATACAGAAACCAAATACTACATCGCCAATCTGGAATCATTTCCATTCATGTCACCCATCCGCATTTGTACAAGTCTCGTCAAGTTTACGTGATCGCAAACGCTCGGCTGGTCAGGTTTGTATTTACTGCATTCGGTGTTTGAAAAAAACCAAAAACATAAATTACCATTCTGAAACATCCTGTTGTAAGAGCGTTTGAGGAGGTGGTTGGTTGTCTCCTGTTGTCGCCGATTCGGGGTCTGAGTTTGGCTCAAACATGTCCGGACAACATTTCCCTCAGCAGTGACCATCTTTACCGGTGTTTTTATTGACCTTGCTTGTAAGTATTACTAATCCACAGCAGGCTACTGCATACATGACCCTAGTTACCTGTGGTTGGCCTGGCCGTGCGTCACTCAGAAAACAACAGGCCAATCAGAAGAGAGGCTCGTGAATATTAATTAGACAGGCCAAAATCGACCTGTTCTTTGCAGAGCTCCTGAGAGAGGAGCTGTAAAAATATATTGAGATGGTTTTTGGTACTTATACTGCAAATATACATTCGTAAGGACATCAAGACTTAAAATAAAACTCCAGAAAGTTGTCAAATATGTGACCTTTAACCCTCAGTATCAGCAACAAGAGAGAGAGAAAAGCGGACATGATAAAGAGCACCCTTGATCTGCAGGAAGTCATTTTATAATTGAGATTGTACATCTGGAAAATATAGCAGCTGTCTTCTGCAGCGTATTTGTGGTTTAAATATGTCTGTGAGGCCAGACTGCTGTTGACACTGTTAAAGATCAAACACTAAGCAAACACAGAGCCTGATAGTCCACGATCAAAGCACGGTGCACCCCAGTCAACATCGTAAATACACAGATGTGAGCACTCACACTCTTACATTCATACTGAGATGCTCTGGATCTTGTGGTTGTGATAAAACACTTCACTGATGAAATATTCTCAAATGCTTTGATGCATAATTCTATTGTTCTGCCTCTTTAGTAAATTTTACAGGGTCTTCCAAACTCACAGTTACATCGGACCATGATACTTCTGAAGGCATGCTCCGGGTTCAATACAAGTTATTTATGAATATCTTAATATCTCTTAAAAATGAAGGTTCCAAAAGGAGGTTTTCACAACAATGTCATAGAATATCCATTTTGGTTCTCCAAAGAGCCTTTAGTGAACAGTTCTTAAAAGAACCAGTTTTTCTTAGAGTAAAGGATGTTTTAATAATCTAAGAACCTTTTTCCACTTTAAAGAACCTTTTGTGGAAAGGAACGTTTCCATTTATGTTAAAAGTTCTTCATGGAACCATAGATGCCAATAAAGAACCTTTATTTTTAAGAATGTGAAAGTCTAATGTGGAAAACATATAAAATTAACACATTTATATCTTGTTTACACTTTTAAAAGGCAACGTTTATCATGTTTCATGCATTTCTGAAAATACAATTTTTGTTTTCATAAACTAAGAGATTAGTCAAATTTATGTAGGTTTTCTTTGTAAATGTGAATGGTATTTGCCTGTGCAAAAGTCCCTTTCATATTAAGGGTGTTGCTAAAGTGTTCTGGGTTAAAAGAATTTGTCGTCAAGTCTCTACGATAATCTGGTCTTGAGATACGGCTCAGATCGTTCTTTAAATGTACATTTATTCGATTTTTGCCCACATTATCCACACAGTGAAATCGTAGTTTAATAACTTAAAGTAGAAATTAAAAATTAAAAAGTAAAAAAACAAAACATATCCATTTGATACATTTAAATCTTGTTTTTTACTTTTAAAAGAACATGTATTTGAAAATATATGTTTCATTGTATATGATATTCTGTAAATATGATTTTTGTTGTTTTTATAAACTGTGAGATGATTTAAATAGATTTTTTAATGCTAATATATACATAGCTTAAAACTTGTTTTGAACCCGAAACATTCCTTTGAAGGGTTAGTTCACCCAAAAATTCTGTCATTAATTACTCACCCTCGTGTTGTTCAAAACCCATAAGACCTTCGTTCATCTTCGGAACACAATTTAAGATATTTTTGATGAAATCCGAGGGCTCTCTGGCCCTCCCATAGACAGCAAGGTAACTACCACATTCAAGGTCCAGAAAAGTACCAAGATGATCAACAAATAGTCCGTGTTACATCAATGGTTCAACTGTAAAGTTACGAAGCTACGAGAATACTTTTTTGTGCAAAGAAAACAAAAATAATGACTTTATTCCACATTTTCGTCTCCACTGCGTCACTTTGCTACCATGGTAGCTCGACAGTACCATGACTCGAGCGTGTGGCAGTGCCGGCGCTGACCCAGATCCGGCGTGATGATGTCATTACGCCGGATCCGCGCGTCCAAAGTGACGCAGTAGAGACGAAAATGTGGAATAAAGTCATTATTTTAGTTTTCTTTGCACAAAAAAGTTGAACACTGATGTCACACGGACTACTATGTTGATCATCTTGGTACTTTTCTGGACCTTGAACGTGGTAGTTACCTTGCTGTCTATGGGAGGGCCAGAGAGCCCTCATATTTCATCAAACATATCTTAAATTGTGTTCAAAAGATGAACGAAGGTCTTACGGGTTTCGAACAACACGAGGGTGAGTAATTAATGACAGAATTTTCATTTTTGGCTGAACTAACCCTTTAAGGTAACAAACTGCTCTTCTTTGGAAATCAATGTCACATGCAATTTTTCTGTATGGCCTAAAAGTGAACAGTCCATGTCAACTTTTTGAGACTTCAAAAGACTTGTACAGCGTTGTCATGAATCACCTGATTGACTGTCACCTTTAGAGGTAAGTTCCTGTAAGAGGGGTCCCAGTCCGCCTTAAGGTCAAGACCCATTCTTGTTAAACATTATAGTCTACATTTGATCCAGGATTAAGTGGTGCCATTACATTTGGAGCTTACAAAACAGTATTGACCAATTTGTCCATGAATCATGGTAATGAAAACTATAATTTTATTTTAGTTAAGATATTTTATTTAAGATATTTTGAGAGCATTCAAACACACATGAACCTGGAGTCCATAACCTGCTGGTTTCCACCAAAACGTTTGACATCTGAATGAGGTTTTTTCAGACTACCGGTCTGATCTACACAAATAAACATGGTCGTTCTCACGGTTGGCATAACAATTCTGACCCTAAATCAACTTCGTCTCGGTCTTAGGAGAAGGACTTTAAAGTTCCAGACAGCGCTGTAAATATTTAACAAATGTTAACTTAACAACCTATTAACCTTGAGTGTAACCTAACCTGAAGCAAACAAAACTAAAGTTAACCTCCTTTTATGCAAGGTTATTTACAAAAATGTCTTTGTTTAATGTGGTTTGAAAACTTTTATGGCTTTTTTTATTGCAGAAGTTAGATTGTTTTCTATAAGATTTGACCTTTCCTTGAAGTATAGTTCTCAATCTGTAGATTGTCTGTAGAAGTTTGTTTTCGTACAACACTTTTAAAAAATGTTCTGTCCATGCTATATGCCGTATGAAACATTTTTAATATACAGTATATATATATACACAGTATATATATATATATATATACATATATATATATCTATATATATATATATATATATATATTATGTTTGCAAAGCCAAGGAGGGTGAGCCCTTTGTGGTGAAGGGTGAACAGAGGTCGTCTACCAAACATTCACAGCCCAGATGAACTGTTTATAGAGATATGGAGGTTTTATCGCGAAGGTATTTAAAAGAAAAGCAGCTACGGTTTGATTTGGAGAACACAAACCAGCTGTTTTCTAGATTCAGCTGTTTGTTTCAACCAGCATGATTTGATTAGACTCGTGAGCATTCTTAACATAGGATACAAATAATGTTAAACATTTTTAACACCATAAAGTTAACTTAGTTTCCGGTTGTTCAGTGGTTCAAAATACAAAAGAATTGCGATAACCTTCCAAACCACTTTTGCAGACATTTCCAGAAGGAATCAATGTATCTAAAATTGTCCATTTACGAGTCAGAATTCAGAATTGACTGAATATTTATTAAAATTCGTCTACATTGTAGATGGTCTGAGGGTGTTTCTTCATTGGAACAGATTTGGAGAAATTTAGCATTGCATTGCAAACAGCTTCTCACATCACAAGATGTTAGCTGATGGACTGGAGTGGTGTGGATTACTTGTGGATTATTGTGATGTTTTAATCAGCTGTTTGGACTTTAATTCTGATGGCACCCATTCACTGCAGAGGATCCATTGGTGAGCAAGTGATGTAATGCTACATTTCTCCAAATCTGTTCCCATGAACAAACAAAATCATTTACATCTTGGATAGGGTTGGGTATCGTTTGAATTTTATCAATTCCGATTCCGATTCCGCTTATCGATTCCGATTATTTTCGATTCCCAGTTTCGATTCCAATGTGATTAAATAATGATATCAAACATTTATCCTGTGTCTCTTTTTTGCAAACCATTTATTGGAGCTGAATACCATGAACAAAAATCAACAGCCTACATAAAAACTGGACTCTTTAAGAGCTGTTTGTGTGCAAAATAGAACTGCATGATTCTGGATAAATTGAAAAAAAATATATATATTTTTTTGTTCCAATGGAAGTTGTGGTTCTCTCTTTATTTTAAAGAAAAAACATTAGACAACTAAAAATCACATGTAGTTTATGAATTAATGATTAAATGACTCACTCAAGATGTACTTGTTTCATTACTGGATGAATCAGCGTTCTTGAACGAATCTCTTGTATGATTCAAAGACAAATACATTTTAACAGCCCCTTTTCGCCACCTACTGGCGTAACAATGTAATCGATAAATCTTCATTTGAAGTGTCAAATTACTTTCAAAAGGTGATTTACTCTATTTTAATCGCTACCATACACATCGTACACACAGTTTATATCTGAACTATAAACTTTTATTCCAGTATTTCTGTGATTTGAATGTTTGTATCACCGAAATAATGATACTGTGTGGCTGAAAAGACTGTGAGGCTTTCATTCATGACAGATGACAGCTGCTCTCTTTTGATCAATGGCAGTGCGAACACAAATTTAAATGTTCAAATCACACTGATGTGATCGTACGCTGCATGGATGAACCAAATGATCACAACATTGATCGCACACGTCAAAGTTTGAGGAATGAAACAGACGAATCATTGTAATTTAGGAACAGAATCACGTTGGTGTTTGAATCGTGTTCGTGATTTTTAACGATGTATTAAATTAAAGTGCTTTGTCATGTTGGTGGTGACGCCTCTCTTGCAACATGTTGATGCAACATGCTTTTTTGGCTTCTGATCGCAAATGTAGCCAAACTTTGGAGCGCTTAGATTAGCGAGCAAGGTCCTGGCAGATCGCTAGGTCCGGTCCTCACAGATGAAGAAAAAAAAGCACATAGGAGTCGATA